CAAGTCACTAAACTTCTCTGGACCTCAGTTTCCAATGAGGGGGTTGGATCTGGATTTTTGTGTGTCAGTGTGACAGTCACATACAGGGCTTAGAAAGAGACTGGGTGAGAGAGAGAGACAGAGATTATTAATAGAGGCAAGGAAAAGGTGCCCCCACGGAAGGGACAAAGGTGAGCTCAACCTTGACACACCACACAAAGCATACAACCAGCGATATTGAAGCGGTTTAATCCGCCCCACGTCAACAAGCCACCCAAAGCCCTACATAAAAATCAGTCTCCCCCTCTTCTCTCTTCCCCTTTATGTTTATTTCATGCCATAAGCACCAAAACCAGTGAAGAAGTCTAGCTTTATAAAGAATGACAGGATCCTAGGGCCTAGAGGGGAAAGGAATCCCAGAGATAGTTTCTTTTATAACCCTATGTATTTTATTTTATTGGATGAAAATTTTTATTCTGAGAAAGGGCCCATAGGCTTCAGTAGACTGCCAAACAGAAAATGTGACAAAGTTAAAAACTCCCAACCTATACCTCCTGGCTTCTTCCCTGGGGTCCTTCAGGTCTCAGTTTAATTTCACCCTTCTACAGGAAGCCTTTCCCAATCCCTCTTAATTCTAGTGCCTCCCCTCTGATAAGTATTTCCTATTTATTTCTCATGTAACTTGTTTGCATGCATATGATCTCCACCACCAGATTGTGAGCTCCCAGAGAGTAGGAACTATCTTTTGGCTCTCTTTGTAGCCCTAGCGCTTAGCACAATGTCTGGCATAGGTGGTGGTGGTGGTGGTGGGTGATGTTATTTTTCAGCTGTGTCTGATATTTTGTGACCCCATTTGGGGTTTTCTTGACAGAGATATTGGAATGGTTTGCCACTTCCTTCTCCAGCTCATTTTACAGATGAGGTCACTGAGGCAAACAGGGTTAAGTGACTTGCCCAAGGTCACAAAGCTAGTAAGTTTCTGAGATCACATTTGAACTCATGAAGATGAGTCTTCCTTGACTCCAGGCCTGGCACTTTATCCACTGTGCCACCCACTGCCCTTGTCTGACACATTCTTCAGACAGGGAAGGGGAAATAGCTCAATCTCTTATCCTTTATTACTGTGACTTCTGATACCAGTCAATAAGAATCAGTTCAGTACAAACTGCCAACCTGAGGCAATCTGATCAGAAGAGAACAATGCCCATTGGGGGAACTCGGATGAAGTCATTGCTACCTTTGGCTTTATCCCTGTGATTCCAGATAAGGGCTTTTCCTTTCCCTGATGGCATTTATTGCTGACTTTTGTATTTCCAACAACCTTGGGCCTCTAGTCTCCTTCTAGTCAGGCCTCCGGAAAATTCTTTAAACCAGGAATTCCTAACTTGATGACACCCAGGGCAAGGAGAGGTGATCAAAGTCCCAAATGTGGTGTCTGTGGAACGTTCATATGTTGTATGTGGAGATATCTTCAAGACCAAAATATTGACCAGATTCCTCCTGGTCACATCCTCTACACATACACCTGTTAAACCTATCAATACTCATTGCCTCTACCTCTACACCCTTCTGAAGTCTGAGTTTCTTCCTCACCATCCTGCAAGCAACCTTTTTTTTTGTCAAATATAACTTTCCTTGACCCCTTTGCAGCATTTGATACTACTGCACACCCCCTTCATTCCTCCCTCCTTAAACCCTTCTCTTTTTAATACTTCCCACTTCTTCTCTTCTTGCTTCTTTTCTCTCTTTCGTTGTTGAACTGATCCTTTCCCATAGCTTCTCTTGTCATGTCTATGGGAATGACTCATACCTTGACTTCTCAGTAGAGCTCCAGTTCAAGTGGAAACATCCATCTTCCCACAGAATATCTCCACTTGAATATCCCTGCCTCCAATCTCTCCTACTTAGAATCTATCCTACACACTAACAGATTAATATTCCTAAAATATTGCTTTCAACATGTTATTCACCTCCTCAAATCCTCCAGTGGCTTCCCATGCTTATAAGATAGGTCTGGATTCCATAGGCTGACATTCAAAGCCATCCATCACCCAACCTGCCCATACCCTGCCTTTCCAGCTTCCCTCTTAATATTCTGCTGCCAACCCTACATTCAAGTCAGATCTATCTACCCATTTTCTCCTGAACATGTCATACTCACAAGGTTATAGATTTTAGAACTGAAAGGGATCTTGAAGAGATCTTTGAGACAGACAGAGATTCAGCCCAAAGCCATGCAAGTATTAAGAAGCAAAGACAAGATGAAAATCCAGTTTTCCAACTCCAAATTTAATCTTCTCCCTCATGTTCCATTGCCTTCTCCTCCTCCCTGCCTGCTAGATTTCAGCTTAGTCAAGACTGGCTCTCTGGATAGGAAAAGAGGGAAAAGTAGTCCAATGTGGGTATTCCTAGGAAGGGAGTTGATTAGGAAAGTTCCCTCCAAAACATTAAGAACTACAGCTAGGTCCAGGGCAGCTGAGATATTATGGCCTTTCCCTCTCCCCTAGAGAGCCTTGCTCAGTCTGGACCCAGGCATGCAGGGATTGAATTTAGTCTAGAGTGAACCTGAACTCCAATGAGAGTGGGTCAGGTTTTTTGTCTCATTGGCTCTTGGAAAATTTGACCTTTCACCCTAGGAAACATTACTTAAAACATTACCATCTCCTGGGTGGATTGTCATTTCTATGGGATGACTCATACCTTGACTTCTCAGTAGAGCTCCAGTTCAAGTGGAAACATCCATCTGCCCACAGAATATCTGTACTGAATATATTGAATATATTGTATTGAATATAAAATGTAAATCCGGTTTGGGACAGCTATTTATTTCTTCCACACAAAAGAAATGCTAAACACAAAATGCTCTCACAGTTTCAAATTAGCAAAGAGCAGAAGCATAACTACTGTTATATATTCTCCTGGGAGGTTGATACTTAAAAAATCAAGATGATGCATTTAGAAGGATTATTGAATAGTCCTTCTTTGTTTCGTTTCTTCTCCGCACAGACCGGTTTCCTTCATGTTCCTATCTTTTGGCAAACCAGGCAAGAGGTTAGGCTCCTCTGGCCCATGGCTATCTTCTCCTAGACGTACATTAGTGGTATTAGAGAGGCTGCCTCTTACACTGAATGAGGGCTCAAGACCAACAGGCCTCTTGAACTCACAATGTAGCTCCAAGGCTGAAAACGTCTAGTTCAGGATGACCAATCAGTCACCTACGATCAAGCAAAGAACATGGAGAAGAATAGGCAACAAAAAGTCCAAGCCTTAGGCTCAGGCTCAGCCAGCAGTTTGCCATTTCTGTGAGAGCTGAGGGAAGGAGGGTTTCTTCCTCTACCTCTTCTGGGAAGCTCAGGAAGAGAGAATTATTTGCCCCACTGAGGAATCCAAAGAGGAGAAAGCAAGCCAGAGCTGTCTTTCCTGTCTAAACTGATGCACACCCTCCTCTGTCACTATCATGGGGCTAAGGAACCAATGAAATGACTACTTTGTTATCCCAAAGCACCTGGTCCTCCAGAACTGAGCGAGCAGGGAGAAACTGGCAGGACACCTCTGCACATTCTCCATGAACTCCATCCTGCCTCCTACTTAGAGAAGTGAGGGTTTCCTGGGCAATGTTAGTGTTTCTGTATGAAGTGGAATAAAGGCTGTCCTGCGGCAAATAACTGCATTTCTTACCTTCCATGTTTGTATGGGAGTGGAGGTCCCCTTTCAACTATATCTGTGAACTCTAGATACAAATTGTATTCAGAGATTTCTCAAAGAAAACAATGAGTGGGTCATGATGAGCCAAAGAGAGTAAGAGCGATCTTTTAGGACTGTCCCAGGATTGGACCAGGTGTAAGTAAACTAAGTACCAGTGGCCTTAAGCCATAGATTATACTAATAATCCATTCTTAACTTGGTACCTTTGTTTATGCTACTCCTAGATTGTATTGTATTGTATTGTATGATTATACAATATCAGGGCTGGAAGGGACTTTTTGTTTTTGTTCAGTTGGTTTTCAATCATGTCCAACTCTTTGTGACCCCATTTGGAGTTTTCCTTGGCAAAGATACTGGAGTGGTTTGCCATTTCCTTCTCCAGCTCATTTTACAGATGAGGAAACCGAGGCAAGCAGGATTAAATGACCTGCCCAGGGTCACTCAGCTAGTAATGGTCTGAAGCCAGGTTTGAACTCAGGAAGATAAGTCTCCCTGACTCCAGGACCAGCACTTTATCCACTGCCGCCACCTAGCTGCCCCAGAGAGACAATTTAATCTAAGCCTCTCATTTTACATAGGAGG